TATATATATATAAAGTACTAAATTATATCCAATTTATCGGAGTCTAAAAATTGGATAAATTGGACATAGTGTTTGAGGATTAGGATAGTATGAACATGTTGAACATGTTATTGTAATTTATTAATAAAAAAAATCTAATTTATATGATCAAGTATCATCACTCTGTATAATTTTATATACTGGTTTCCCTTTTTCAAGATACAAATGGGCTTCTCTTCAATGTACGTCATTATGATATTTAACACTTTGAAACACACTTTTCTGGTTTGGCCATTGAAATAGTTTTAGTATACATTGCCTAGTAATTTGACGAATGGGGATACAGAATTAGCACTGGTTGTCATTTGTCAATGCTTCCAAACAGTACCATGTTAACTCTCTTGCAGTAACTTATAAAGCAACAGAAGTTCTTGGTGGAATAACCTCACTCCCTCACTTTGATGGTAAGCTAATTATATTGTTTCATTAATTCCTCACAAATAATTAAATACATACTTAAAGATCACATTGTTTGACACACTCCGTTGAATATATTCTTTTTTATTCGTTAAAATTTATTTTAAAATTACAAAAATTAGTGAATCTTATATTTTATTTAATAAATTTCCCTTGTGAATTTTAATTTTTAATAAATTTTACTCAATAAAAGAGAGTGCTGTCAAGAGGAATGTGCTTACTCTCCGGGCAAATAAAATAATGCTGATACTGGAGTTGAAGAACTGAAGCTGCAGGAATCACACAAAAGCAAAAATCTCAAGACTCCAAACCGAAGGAATTGAGAATTACTAGACCTGAGAACTTTCGATTATAAAAAAAACGAAAAAAAAAACAGAAGAACCTAATCCAATTTTTCAGCAGTTATAGAGTCAATAAAATCATGCAGAAGAAGTAAGTTTTTAATGTAGTAACTCCTAGTTTGTCAACTCTATTGTCTCATAATCTTTAGTATTATAAATGGTAATTTCCCGGCATTTACTTTAGATATATTCAAACCACTTGTCCTTTTCCTTTCTCTTTTTGGAAATTAAAGAACTGGTAATGCGGAAAACCTAATAGTTGCATATATAAGCACAAAAAATAGTCTATACACGAGGTAGGACGAGTGCAATTATCATAAGCAGAATATTCTGCTAAAATCATTAGAGCCTAATAGAAGTAAGCAATTTGTGAACTTAGGTGGATTAAATCCAGCTGGAATATTATTTCTTTTAGATGATTTTATATAAGTAAACTTGCCCTTGCTTTATATTCAAGGTGATTGAGTCAAAGTGATTATGGCTTGTAACTCGCAGGATTCAAATCATTGTAAAATTATTATTTTGAAGAGGACTTTTTCAAAATGTGTCTCAATTCATAAAATTAGGCTTTCTAACCAAATTTTTGTGTCACTGGACAAATATTTAAAAACACACAAATTTAGAAGCATGAATGTAGTGGACCTCCATATGAAGAAAGATAGCATGTTTCTTTGGGGAATTGATCATGTCTGCATAGGCAAGTGTTCTAAATAGTGATAAGATTTTTAGGAACTGCACTAAATTATTATAGTATATAAAAAAAATATGAGTTGTTGAACTTCAAAAACTTGAAAAATATTTATATATAATTTTGAATATCTTAGTAAAAGTTTGAAATAAAAAAAATTCAAGGATATTATAAACATAGTGTTGTTCAAATTTCAATAATGAAATTATAAAAGATTATAAATAGATCGATAGTAACACAAAAAGATAATAGTTTATAAAACTGTTATGATTAAACTTTACAAATCTCACCCTTATGCACTCCTAAGATATCTATATATAATTTCTATCATTTAATGTTATTTGGTTCATTAAGATCATTTTAAATCAATTCCTTACATTTAGATATTTTAAGGAGTCTAACTTAATAAATGATTCCTCTCTTTATAAAATTAGAAATCTTGCATTAAGTTAGAGAACTTATTCAACTAACAACCCCAAATCTATGCCTAGCCTTTATAGTTGTCAAGTGATTTGATTCAAAACTAGATTTAGAAAATGTTTTTCAACCAAAATCCAAATCAAAGATAAAAGATGAGTGATCAAGTCACCTTAGCATTAAGAACAGAATCAAAATCATTAACATTAAATAATAAAATCATCATATATATGAATCAAAAGGAGTACATAAGAGTTTGATAATTTATATTTAATCCCGACAAAAGTAAAGGATCAACCACTCGTGGTAGTGAGAATTGATCCAAAATACGTAGAGAATGAGTAGAAGAAGAAAATAAAATTTGTAGAACCTCCGTTCCCAAGGTTCGTAGGCTTTCATGAGCTTTGTTATGTTCGCCTTCCTTTGTTAACTCCCTTGTTTTCTTTCTCAACCTTTTTAAAACGACCAAGCGATTTGAAAAATTCTTCATGGTGAAGTAACTCAGATGGTTGGACCCTTTTGAATCCGTTGAGCCCCTGAAAGTCAGATTTCTCATCCTTCTCTAGATTCAAACCGCTCAACCATTTCCAAACGGCTGAGCAATTTTGGATTTCCTCCAATTCTTACTTTCTGCCTCTAAATTGCTCAACTCTCTCCAAACGGCTAAACGATTTTGAGTCTACTTTAAGCTCTTTGATCTTCTTTGATACCTACAAGACAAAAATCCAAAACCTTATAAATAAAATTACATCAACTCTTTGCAACATACCACTTTATCCAACCTTTTGATTCTTCCTAAGTTTATAGGGATAAATAAAAAAGAAATTAAACATCTTAATTCAAGCTAGATAAGTGATGAAATAATTCAATATTTTAGGTACAATAATCACTTATTAAAAAGAAAATTATTTCCATAACTATCCTTATTCTCATTCTGCAATCTACTTGTTTTACTTCTCTAAATGCAAGAAATAAATGAATGTTAATGATACAAAACTCTAATTGCTCGAACATACATAATACCAACAACTTTAAGGTGTTAGAGCTAATCAATCTAAAAGCTTTAATTTTGAAAAACAATTCTAAGAAAGATTTTGAATTATGTCTCCACCATCTTGATATACTATAATGTTCCAAATAAATACAGCACCAAGCAGCCTATAATTTTTTATAATTTTTTATAATTTTAATTTAAGCATGGTTGTTGTCCTGGAATTTGTAGATTTCTTTAACGCTCTAGCAAGAAAATCGTAGCATAGTCATCACTCTTCTTGTTGTCAAGATATTAGAATTCAAGGTTCAAACTTTATTCAGAAAAATGAATCATAGGGAATAACAAATCTAATGTGCAAAATCTGCAAGCATGTCAAAGGAACAAAAACATATTTGAAAGGAAAAGGAAATATAGCAATTTATTATTAAACCAACAATATTTGAGTTTCTTGATTACTAAAAATATAGGTGCATTATGAATTTTAGTCATTCATAAATTCTGCAGTGAAACCGCATCCATATCCCTTACATGAAAAATAAAATCCACAACCTGAAAACAGAATCTAAACAAAATCACCCAGCAATTAACATCTTCCGAGCGCCGAACAGGACCTCATGATGAAATCTATATATGTTCCTTGCCATACTTAAAGTTGCATTCATTATGTTCTCTATTGAATGCATGCAAACTTTTTTAGCATTCTTCTAAATCCAGGTTTAATTTATTCCTCTCCATTATACTCGTTATAATTCATACTTAATTAACATACAACAAAGAAGAGAGAGTATTGA